TTATTAAAAAAAAAAAAAAAAAAAAAAAAAAAAAAAAAAATGATTAATTATACAGAATAAATGTGTAAAAAAAATAAAAAATTATTTTTTTATTATTTATTTTCGTCTATCATTTTTTAATACTTATTTATAGCTTTTAAAAAAAATTTTTCTTTGTATTTGTTATAATGTAATAATTTTTAACATGATTTATTTTTTTTTTATTGTAACAATTAATTTTTTTTAGTTTTTTGTGTGTGTTATAATATTTTACTTTACACATTTAGTTTTTGATATAATATCATATATTTTCTTAAAAATTATTTATGTTTTAAAATATTATGATAACTTAATAGGAAAATAGCATATATATATATTTAATTTTTTATTTGTTTATTTGTTTATTTTATTGTTGATAATTAAAAAAAAATATATATATATATTATTAGGAATCCATTTGAAATTTAATTAAAAAATAAAAATAAGTGAACATTTTTTTTTTTATATTTAATAGTTAATCTTAAATAAATTAGAAATTAATTAGGTATAAAGATACTAAAACTAAAATACAGAATATACGAAGCATTGTAAAGATAACATATTATTACTAATGTTCAAAAAAAAAAAATCATTATGTGTAAATAGAATATAGTAAAAAAACAATTGCTATGTTATTTTCTTTATTTGTTCTTTTTATTTTTAAAATTATATACATAAAATGTCAAATGTAAATGAAGAAGGTAGTAAGAATAATAATTTAGTAGATAATAGTAAAATAATAATAGTTCCCAATCAAAAAGAATCTTCTGATAATAAAACTAAAAAGAAAAAGGTATGTTAGAATAACTTTTAAAAAGAAAATTTATGGAAAATTTTATTTGGAGTTATTTTTATTTCTATCAATATAATAATTATATAAATTTTATTAATATCTTTTTTAATATTCAACTTTGGTGATTTTTTCTTTTTTTTTTTTAAGTCTTTTATTTATTTTTTGTTCTATAATATTTTATTAGATAATGAATGAAAATCCATATTAGTTTAATTTATATTCTAATCAAAAAAAATTTTTTTTTTTTTTTTTTTTATTTAAGAAAAATAAGAATAAAAAAAGTGGAAATGATGAGAATAGGAAATACTCCACTGATAAAAGTATTATTAATATTACAAAAAATATAAAGGATGAAATTAAGGATAATTTAGTATTAGATACAATAAATAATATTAAAAATGAAGAAACAAATAAGGATCAAATAGAAACTTCACAAATAGTACAAAGTAATAAAAGTAAACTAGTTCGTCTTTTACCAGTAATTTTTATATTTATTTTACTATTAGGAATATATCTAATATATATAATGGTAATTCTTTATTTATAAAAAAGACACATGGAAAATAGTTATTCATATATTACTTTTTTTTGTTTTTTATTATAAATTATATATATTTTTGCAAACAATTTTATATATAAAAAAAAAATGTTAAAATTATTATAGAAAAATGAAAAATATATATTTAAAAGTGGTTTATGAGGATAATTACTTTAATAAATAAATGAAAATTAAAAATTTTTTATTTTTTATAGTATCACTGTTTGCCATTAATATATAAAGATTATAAAAAAGTTTATATAAATTATGATTTTAAAAGGTATTTTCATATATATATTTAAGATAAATTATTAAAAAAAAAAGTAATAATGAAATTGAATGTGTATAATATATTATATATATATATATATTTCTTATATTTTATTTAGGGGATTAATTGAGATAATTATTTTTCATTTTTTTTTGATAATGTATTTGATAAATTATATATTATCAATTATAATACCACCTGGATCTATACCTAATACAGAAGAGTGGGCATTCAATGATTATCAAGAAAATTATACAGATGAGATAGAATATTATTTATTAGAAAAAAAAAAATCAGGAGAAAGAAGATATTGTAAATGGTGTTGTAAATTTAAACCTGATAGAACTCATCATTGCCGTGTTTGCAAGACATGCATTTTAAAAATGGATCATCATTGTCCATGGATATACAATTGTGTTGGATGGAATAATCACAAATATTTTATGCTTTCATTAATTTATTGCTGTATTACTAGTATATTTGTTTCAATTACTATGTTCAATTCAGTTAAAGATGCTATTAAAAATGTGAAGGTAATATATGAAAATGTTTTGTATATATATATATAATGTTTATAAAAATTATGAATTTTATAATAATACATTATTTTTACAAGATATTCATATTATGTTTAAATATTTTATTTTTAAAATGAAATAAATTATTATAATAAATTTTTGAAAATTCCATTTTTTTTTTTCTGTAGACACCATTTAGTGAAATGTTCCTACTTTTATTTGGAGAAACTTTAAATTCATTTTTAGCTCTAATTATAACATGCTTTTTATTTTTTCATATATGGTTATTCAAATATATTCATTAATAAAATGATATACTTTTAATATATAACTTTATTAAAATTTTTTTTTTTTTTGAAGGCTAATGATTAACGCAATGACAACAATAGAATTTTGTGAGAAACAAACAAATTATCAAAATCAATCCTACTCAGTAACAATTTTTTTTTTAATTTTATTATAAATAATAACATAATATTTATAAAATAGTATTTTTATTAACGTTTTTTTTTTTTTTTTTTTTTTTTTTTTTTTAA